GAGAACCAAGAATTAACCTGCAAACGGGCCTTTGAAGGAGTGTTAAAAAGAAGAGCTGGCTTAAAAAGAGGGACCAACACTCGAACTGACTCTTACAAAAATAACTGGCCATGGTTTTTTATTTGTTTTTGTTTACTTTGGCCTTCATATTCCTCTGACAAAAGACTTGAATCACTCGCTCATTTTGTTTGGATGAGCAGTTCTCCAGAAAGCTGCAACCCACAATCTGCCCAATCTGCACAGCAACGTTTTGAGTAGGCACAATCACACACAGATTCAGCAAGTGTGCTACATCCTTTTTTTCCCTTTTAACAGCAGCTTTAGGATTGTCTCCATGTGACACTTTTAGGTAAACGCTGTTAAATAGTAGCTACAAAAAAGAAACTAGTTCCAACTCTCCCTGTGTTAATGTTTAAAAATGAAAATAAGCTAAATCATTTAACTTTACATCCACTTGTTTCAGTAAAGTAAGAACTGTTTCAGTTTGATCGTGTGACGTTCATGATATCATTATAATATTTGACATCCCACACTTTATGTTATGTGTAAACTATGGCAAAATCTTTAAAGTGGATATCCGGTGCTGGTGAAAGAGGATCAGCCCTCCTTTACGTTGTGCATACGCAGATGTGGTTTGCTTTTAGGGTGAGGATCGGAGATGCATGTACACGATTATCAAAAGTCCAGACAGAATGGCAGATTGAACAGTGGTCTTCCTATTAGCAGAAGAGAAACATTATTTTTCATCTGGGCACTAATCAGATTTTATCTTCAGTTAATTGGATTTTGCATTTGGGAATAAAAAGCAATTTTAGCCGCTTGAATATTTGTAACATTTAGCAGTTTTCAATTCAAGATCCATTCACTTCAATTTGGACTTTTTTTCATTTCCACTTCCACAATAAATATAACAAAACAGCATTTTTATATATTTATTTTTGGCACTTTTGACAGTTAGGCAGTGGAACAACGATTTTTTTTTCTATTTTTATTTTTTTTATTATTATTATTTTTCAGCTGATGACAGATGGAAGGACTGACTGCTGCAGTTCACCTGTCACACTGTAACACAGGTGTCCTAGGGCAAGCTCAGAGTGCAGAAACCTTCAATGGAACAGAAAGGCCACAGGTCACTTGAGCACGATTTTCACAATAAATATACCCTCAGGAGCTTTCTGACGTTTTTGGTTTTAAGCAAGAGGTGTCAGAAAAACGAACACAAGGAATGACTGGCCTGTAACAGCCATGTGCTGATAGCAGCATTGATCCATTTGAAGTTGTCTCCTCATCATTGTGTAGAACAATTTGGGTTGTT